TTCGGTTGCCACGTCGAAGGCAAGCCCTTCATCGGAGTCCCCGTGCTATTATAGCTGGGACATAGCTCATGTATAACCCCGCAATACTTCAGGGTGCCTTACACAATCAGGTAATAATTGCAGTCCTTGAAGTTTTCAGGGAATATACCTATGCCTAAACTAGTGCTTATATAATCACTGATATAACATTTCATAATTATATTCGTTCTCCCTCGCCCTGTACATTGTATGTCAGATACAAGATTGTTGAAAAACGCTTTTGATGCCTTGAGTACTTTGAACATAGGCGTTACCAGATACCTATCAACTAGCGTGATGATCTATGCACACGTTTTAGTCATGAGCACAGCTGTGCGGCGTTAGATAGAACACAATTAGCGTTTGTGCAGTTTGTGAGATATATATGACGTTTAACATATATTTTTCTCTACTAAATGAACATTGCTTAAAAACTAATATACTAAATTTCTAACTGATGGTGGGAGAAATAAAATATTTATACAGGGAATATGTATTAAAAAGTGTGATTGTTTCAGGGACTATCTGTTACCACTGAAAATGTGAAGTAGTTTCCTTGAATGAAGCAGGCATTACACATGATCCCTGAAAATGTCACCATTACCTACCTTGTATGTACCATGCGTGTGTGTGTGTGTGTGTGTGTGTGTGTGTGTGTGTGTGTGTGTGTGTGTTTGTGGCTGTGTGTGTGTGTGTATGTGGCTGTGGCTGTACGTGTGTGTGGCTGTGTGTGTGTGTGTGTGTGGCTGTGTGGCTATGTGTTTGGCTGTGTGTGTGAAGCTGTGTGTGCGTGGCTGTATGTGTGTGTGGCTGTGTGTGTGGCTGTGTGTGTGCGTGGCTGTATGTGTGTGTGGCTGTGTGTGTAGCTGTGGCTGTGTGTGTGTGTGTGTGTGTGTGTGTGTGTGGCTGTGTGACTGTGTGTGTGTGTGTGGCTATATGTGTGTGGCTGTGTAGCTGTGGCTGTGTGTGTATGTGTGTGTGGCTGTGTGTGTGTGTGTGTGGCTGTGAGTGTATATGTGTGTGGCTGTGTGTGTGGCTGTATGTGTGTGGTTGTGTGTGTATTGCTGTATGTGTGTGTTTGTGTGTGTGTATGTGTGTGTTGTGTGTGTGGCTATGTGTGTGTGTATGTGCGTGTTTGTGTGTGTGTGGCTGTGCGTGTAGCTGTGGCTGCGTGTGTATGTGTGTGTGTGGCTGTGTGTGTGTATGGCTGTGGCTGTGTGTGTATGTGTGTGTGGCTGTGTGTGTGGCTGTGTATGTGACTATGTGTGTGTATGTGTGTGTGGCTGTGTGTGTATGTGTGTGTGGCTGTGTGTGTGGCTATGTGTGCGTAGGTGTGTGTGGCTGTGGCTGTGTGGCTTAGATGACATGCATCAACCAAGTGAACGGGCCTGACCACCAGTTAGTCGCCTCTTACGACAAGCATAGTCGCCTTTTACGCTAAGCATGGGTTGCTGAAGGCCTATTCTACCCCGGATCTTCACGGGTCGTCTGTGTGTATGTGTGTATCTGTGTGTCTCGATATTCTAGGGGCCTCAGTCATATAACTAGACTATGAGTGCGGCGATAAACAAGGACACACACACACACACACACACACACACACACAGAGTTGTACAATCAGCCTTACAGAGTTGTACAGTCAGTCTTAAGGGGTGTACAGTCAGTCTTACAGGGATGTACAGACAGTCTTTAGGTGTGTACAGACATTCTTAAGGGATGTAAATCTGTCTTACAGGTGTGTACAGTCAGTCTTAGGGGTGTACAGTCAGTCTTACAGGGGTGTACAGTCAGTCTTAGGGGTGTACAGTCAGTCTTAGGGGTGTACAGTCAGCCTTACAGAGTAATACAGTCAATATTATATGGGTGTACAGTCAGTCTTAAGGGTTGTACAGTCAGTCTTACATGGTTGTATAGTCAGTCTTTAGGTGTGTACAGACAGTCTTAAGGGATGTAAATCTGTCTTACAGGTGTGTACAGTCACAGTCTTACGGGGGTGTACAGTCAGTTTTACAGGGGTGTACAGTCAGTCTTACAGGGGTGTACAGTCAGTTTTACAGGGGTGTACAGTCAGTCTTACGGGGGTGTACAGTCAGTCTTAGGGGGTGTACATTCAGCCTTACAGAGTAATACAGTCAATATTACATGGGTGTAAGTCAGTCTTAAGGGTTGTACAGTCAGTCTTACATGGTTGCACAGACAGTCTAAATGGTCTACAGTCAGTCTTACGGGGTTGTACAGTCAATATTACATGGGTGTACAATCAGTCTTAAGGGATGTACAGTCAGTCTTAAGAGGTGTACAGGCAGTCTTATATGGGTGTACAGACAGCCTTACATGAGTGTACAGTCAGCCTTACAGGCATGAACAGTCAGTCTTATATTGGTGTACAGCCACTCTAAAGGGTTGTACTGTCAGTCTTAATGGGTGTACAGTCAGTCTTAAGAGGTGTACAGTCAGTCTTATATAGGTGTACAGTCAGCCTTACAGGGATGTGACACGGGGCTATCATTTCAGAGTTCGAGCCTGCTTTGATGCCTCTGCTGACCCGCGAGAATATTTGGGTCAATGAAGTGAAATAAATAAAGAAGTTGACAACCATAAATTCTCTTCCTCAAACTGTGTTTATCAAGGTAAATGGATTGGGGAGGATGAAACGTCAATACGAGGAGTCCTATGTGTAAAGTTAGGAATTATGTGTTGGTTTTAATAGAACATGATATGATATTGCTCTTAATTGCGTTAAATTCAAGGTCCTCTCTGAACATCACGTAAACAATTAAACGGAAAGGATGACAACAATATCGAAATGTACATGACAGGTGTGTTTATATGTCAATTAGCTCCAAATGAAAAGGCTATCTCCAACAGCCAACAAATAAGCATGGACTGCTGAAGATCAGACCCGGAAAGTATGTGGGTCTCTCGCTAAGTGGCAACGAGAGGACGAGAGGTGTATACATATACAAAAGACTTACAGTTAGAAGACAAATAAAGTGGGGTTTGAATGGCTTGATTAACATTTCGGGGACTCCCAGTGTTTTTGCCGGTTTGGTGGCTCACATGAAACCACTTAAATATTATGCCGAATAAAATATACTCGTGATACCAGAGGTGACAAAAGCTATGGTTAACAACTTCTTTACTTACTGTAAAGGCGACGTTTCGGTATAGGTCGTTCTACCGTTGGACCGTCAAGATTGGTCGGGCGAGGCTCTTGATGGTGTTGATTGCCAAGTCACAAGGTCGATGACGGATACATCATTTGCTAGGCATTACTTAGAAGTTGGCGGATGACCAAGTAGATACAATTTATGGATAACAACTTTTTTTACTGTAAAAGCGACGTTTCGGTACAGATACTTATACCGTTATCAAGTAAGGATGCTTCTAAGTAATGCCAACTTAGCCAAGCTCTACGTTACTTCTAAGTAATGCCTTTCAAAGAATTTACTCGTGATATATTCGGCGAACACTTGCATTTAAACATTTGTATGATTTTCTTTCATACATTTTATGACTTCGAAATTTTTCTGAACTGCAGCTTTTTCTGCGGATCATGACGGACTACGTACATGCCAATTTGATAGCTTTGTCTTACATTGGTCTAAAGTTCTAAACCCATCAAGTTTTGCTTTTATCTTGGATTCAATCTGGTACTGTGTCAGCCTGGTTTTCTGATCTTATGAATATAGAGGTCTGTGTTGAACACATTCACCTTGATTTGGTCACGTTGTTATACGTTAGTCAGTGTCATGTGGACCATTTTATCAAATAAATGTTTGTCGACTATGTGAATATGATTATTTTTAATGTAGAATGAGCTATGAGAATGGCGATATTGGTTATAACACACACACGCAAGCACGCATGCACGCACATGCACCCACCCACACATGCACACACTCGGAGGTAGTCAGTAGTAAACTAGATCGACGCATGCAAGTAAGTAAGTCTTACTTAAACAGGGATCTTTTCACCATCATTTTAATAGAGCGAAAGAAAAGGCTGAACAGTAGTATGGGTAATGATTATTAAATACAATAGACTTTCCTCTTGGTGTAGGACTACAGAACGTGATAGACATGAAGATGACCGGTTATCACCTTGTTTCCTCCTGGTGTAGGACTGCAGAACGTGATAGACATGAAGATGACCGGTCATCACCTTGTTTCCTCCTGGTGTAGGACTGCAGAACGTGATAGACATGAAGATGACCGGTCATCACCTTGTTTCCTCCTGGTGTAGGACTGCAGAACGTGATAGACATGAAGATGACCGGTCATCCTCTTGTTTCCTCCTGGTGTGGGACTGCAGAACGTGATAGACATGCAGATGACCGGTCATCACCTTGTTTCCTCCTGGTGTAGGACTGCAGAACTTGATAGACACGCAGATGACCGGTCATCCCCTTGTTTCCTCCTGGTGTAGGACTGCAGAACGTGATAGACATGCAGATGACCGGTCATCACCTTGTTTCCTCTTGGTGTGGGACTGCAGAACGTGATAGACATGAAGATGACCGGTCATCCTCTTGTTTCCTCCTGGTGTAGGACTGCAGAACGTGATAGACATTCAGATGACCGGTCATCCTCTTGTTTCCTCCTGGTGTAGGACTGCAGAACGTGATAGACATGCAGATGACCGGTCATCACCTTGTTTCCTCCTGGTGTAGGACAACAGAACTTGATAGACATGCAGATGACAAGATATCCCCTTGTTTCCTCCTGGTGTAGGACTGCAGAACTTGAAAGACACGCAGATGACAAGATATCCCCTTGTTTCCTCCTGGTGTAGGACTGCAGAACGTGATAGACATGCAGATGACCGGTCATCACCTTGTTTCCTCCTGGTGTAGGACAACAGAACTTGATAGACATGCAGATGACAAGATATCCCCTTGTTTCCTCCTGGTGTAGGACAACAGAACGTGATAGACATGAAGATGACCAGTCATCACCCGGTTTCCTCCTGGTGTAGGACTGCAGAACGTGATAGACGTAAAGATGACCGGTCATCATCTTGTTTCCTCCTGATGTAGGACAACAGAACTTGATAGACATGAAGATGACCGGTCATCACCTTGTTTTCTCCTGGTGTAGGACTACAGAACGTGATAGACATGAAGATGACCGGTCATCACCTTGTTTCCTCCTGATGTAGGACAACAGAACTTGATAGACATGAAGATGACCGGTCATCACCTTGTTTCCTCCTGGTGTAGGACAACAGAACGTGATAGACATGAAGATGACCGGTCATCACCTTGTTTCCTCCTGATGTAGGACAACAGAACTTGATAGACATGAAGATGACCGGTCATCACCTTGTTTCCTCCTGGTGTAGGACTGCAGAACGTGATAGACATGCAGATGACAAGATATCCCCTTGTTTCCTCCTGGTGTAGGACTGCAGAACGTGATAGACATGAAGATGACCGGTCATCACCTTGTTTCCTCCTGGTGTAGGACTACAGAACTTTATAGATATGCAGATGACCGGTAATCCCCTTCTTGATCTCGGGCATAATTTGCTTGTCCTCCAGTTTCCATAGCCCACAGTTCTCTAGGCTGGAGAGATTCGCACGGAGGACATCCCTCTCGAAGATGTAGTCGAAGTGATTCATCAAGATATGGCCACCTAGAAGGCAGGAAAGATTGTTTAATAATAAGCTCTATAAATAATCGAGTCTGGACCAGACGACAAGTTTCATAGCATATCAGGACACATCGAATGGTCGTCCGCTTTGCATTTGGCTTACACGATGTTTAAGCCCCATTTAATGTAAAACAGTTAATGTTCAAATAATGATTAGCATGACATAAATGCAGAATTTAACATCAACCTACCGTCATGTAAGAAAGGTTGCAATTAGTTTCAGTTTCATAGCATATCAGGACACATCGAACGGTTGTATGCTTTGCATTTGGCTTACACGATGGAATCAATGTGATGTTGGTTGGTTGGTTGGTTGGTTTCTTGTTTAACGCCGCACTCTGCAATATTCCACCTATAGGACGGCGGTTTGTAAATAATCGAGTCTGGTCCAGACAATCCAGTGATTAATATCACGAGCATCGATCCACGCAATTGGGATCGATGACGTGCATCAACCAAGTCAGCCACCCGATCCCGTTAGTCGACAAGCATAGTCGCCTTTTACGGCAAGCATGGGTTGCTGAAGACCTATTCTAACCCGGATCTTGACGGGTCAGAAGGCAGCATTGATGAAGAACAGTAGATCGATGACTTACATGAAACCTTCAGTATGTCTTAATATATGTTGTTTTTACGCTCTTGAGTAAAATCCATAACAATTTGTTCTCACCTGATTTCGTGACACGCACCAGTTCCTCGAATGCCTTGATGGGCAGTGTACTGAATATTTCGGAGCTGAGACCGACCACTGTTACTATAGTGTATGTTGCTGCAATAAACAAAGACACATGCAGGTAATATCTGGTTATGGAAGGGCATGGGGGCCTTCGTTCTGGTGGCTCTGAAGTCACAAAATGGTTGTCTGTATTGAAACAACCATGTCATGCCACGGACAAATGTATGGCCAAGTCTCGATATTTGGGTGTTTGTTTGTTGTTCTATAAATCATCATACACATACTAAGCAAGAATCAGGTGACAAATTGTTCTCAAAACTTACATGAATGTGATTTGAAACATGTCTTAATTTTCAGACATTGGCGATATTGTGTTTGATACTTTAACGATGGGAAAGATGTTATATTTATCATGTTAACAAATATTCTATCACAAACGTCAAAGGCAAATTCATCGGTGGTCTCCTTATATCAGGTATATCTGCGTTATTCACGTCTACATCAACTGACACTACCTTCACAATGAGACATCTATTCTGTCCCATATCTCTGTTAACCTCGGTTGTCCGTGCTATCAGTATATGTTGTCTACTTCTTGTCTTAAAACCGTGTCTAATGCAACCGTTCCTACTCTCACCATCAGAAATATCCAGGCTGTTGTCAGCAAGAATGTCACATATGTATCGCTCATACAAGTTTTTTTTCCTAGCCTGTTCAAGCATCCCGACAGACGGTTCCAGACCATCAATGTGCAGGAATCCGTGTTTCCGCATCTGGGACATAAACGAACTCTGTAATTTTATCTTGCCAGCATGCCACAGTTCAGGTTCAATCAGCACATAAAATGACAAGGACTAAGATTGGGGCGAAACTGTTTTCTTCTTCTTTCTCATATGCCGATATGGTCCGACTTTTCATAAACTGACGGGGGCGGTCGGGTAGCCTAGTGGTAAAAGCGTTCGCTCGTCACGCCGAGGACCCGGGTTCGATTCCCTTCATGAGTACAATGTGTGAAGCCCATTTGTGGTGTTCCCCGCCGTGATATTGCTGGAATATTGCTAAAAGCGGCGTAAAAACATACTCACTCGCACACTCACTGACGGCCAAACCATAGTTGTGAATCACTCTTGTATAAAAACCACAACATGTAGATGCATGAAGTAAAAAGATTGAAAAGATCATAATCTCAACGAAATCGGGGAAATGACAGTCATAAAACATCCAATACTGACATGACAGTTGCCCGATATGAGGTGGAGTAGCACAAACAAGCCTTCAACGTACTGGACAAAAAGCACTCACATCTAAAATCGCTTAAGTTCAATGACACATCACATTAATAGCGTGTATGACCACCCCCAGCTACAAGACAAGGAAAAAGTCTCGGGCGCACAGAAAAAGTCAGTCGTCTGATGACGTCACGTGGGATACGTCGCCATTATGTTTGGATTCCCCGGATCAGTTCTTGTCAGTTGACTGGAGGATGTGGTCGCAGTCGAACACGACGATCCATGACATCCCAGATGTGTTCTATGGGTGACATGTCGTGTTGGCTGCAACGAAGTTCTGTACGATTCGGGTTGTATGGAGTCTGGCGTTGCCATGCTGATAAAGGACACCACGTAGCAGATGTTGTAGGAATGGTAGGACGAAGAAATCTGACGAAGAATGTCATCCGTGTAACGCTGAGTTGTAAAATCTCCGTTAACGATGACCAGTGGTGTTCTCTCCTGCCCCAAAATTCCTCCCATCAGCTGTGAACAGACAGAACCGGCTTTCATCAGGGAAGACGACGTCTCTACTAACGACGTACAGTCTGGGCCCACATCAATCTCTGACGACGATGTTGCGCTGTCAATAACGGTCCTCTGTAAGGTCTGTAAGCCCCAGAGCCCTAGAGTCGCCTGGCCACTGTCTGTCGACTAACCATATCCACTTAGGCATTCGTCGCTGATGACGCCAATGTCAGGGATCGATTCCGGAGATACAAAGTACCGGTCTTCATTGGGCATAGTTACCTTGGGCCTGTCTGTTCTTGGCCTGCCTGATGTCTGCCCGATCTGTCTGTAACGTTGCATCAGGTTTGTTACGACAACACGAGAACAACCAAAAGTTCTATCAATGTGGGCATGGGTGGCTCCCATCTGTATCGTACCCAGGGCCCGCTCGCGTTGTCCGGGTGGCAGTCGTGGTATTTTTGTGGTGGTATTCTATGAGTGTGAGTGTCTGACATGACGTCCGTATCATTTATGTACCCTTATTGCAGGTATAGTTTCAGCCGCCCAAGCGGCATATGTTTTTTGCTTTTTTTGCAATTCCTAAAAAAACCACACAGTGTCTTGGACATGTATAACTTTCTGCATAGAACATTGTCGTGTTTGGCTGGTGTATTTTGCGTTGATTTAGTTTCTTGTGGCCGTCAGTTTAGTAAGAAACAAGACATTGACTCCTACATCAGACAACATATACTGATCATATGGATGTATTTACATTTGCCAGTTTGCTCTTATGCATAATAAAGCCAAGAGGATCATGAATAAGTGAGTGGGTTGGGTTTAACGCCGCTTTTAACAGTATTCTCGTTATATCACGGCGTGTATGCTTAATGTGGGAGGAAAACCCGAGGGATGCAGGTCTCAGACGTTTACCACTTCGGGGCTAGAAAAACCTAGAAACATAATCGGGGCGAACCGGGATTCGAACCCACAATCATAGGTTCCTAGCGTGCCCAAGGGACGCAACTCTGCACAGCGAATCGCGGCGCCTTCGACGACTGGGCCACCCGTGCCCCCAAGAGAATCGTGAGACTCAAATAGCTCACCTACGTGCTACTGGAATTGTTACTGTAAATCAGCGATGCCTTGCAATGGTAACCGTAAATACGCAAAACAAACATGCCGGATGGCCGAAAAGTAAGTTGTGGGTGTCAAATTAAATTGTTTGGTTCGTCATGTCACATAAACCAAGGGGCTTGTTATGAGACTGTGACCAAACAAATTCCCTTCATCAACCGAGAACCGCCTCCGTGGTCTAGTGATAGAGCGTCCGCCCGGAGAAGAGGGGTTCGGGGTTCGATCCCCGGCCGCGTCATACCAAAAGATGTTAAAGGATGGTACTTGTTGTTACCCTGTGTGGCGTGCGGCATTAAGGGACTAACATTAACAAGGACTGGTCGTCTCGGAGTCAGTATACTGTGTCTGAGTGGGGTTTTCATGTTAAACTGCAGCATGGTATCTCAGTGAGGTAGCACTATAAATCGGCATTAGTCCGGACTAGTACAAGCAGCCACACACACACACACACACACTCACACACACACACACACACACACACACACATGCATACACGTCACTATATAAGTGCAATAATCTTGGACGCGACTTTGAACCCCATTTCACCTGCATCAACAGAGGTCTTTACATTCATGTAACTCCTTCCACAACAGGTCGCATTTTACCTCGTGAGAGGCCAATCCAGTTCCTGCAGCTACATCCAAGATCTTGACAGTCTGTCGGTTGCGGGTATACAGAGCCGCTAGACTCTCTCCCATCCATTTCGGCAAGTTGTTGCCAATTATATCCTGCATCTGAACAAATATATGATTCAACAAAACATAATGTGATCACAGTGAAGACCACATATACAAGCATGTTTGATATGGGAAAATGGAAAGATACATTTGAAGTCTCGTATATATCACTCTGTGCCTTGACAAACCGTTTTTAAGGACATCATGCACAATGGAGTGGTGATCTATAAATATATGTTGTCTTTGTTACGGAACACTCCGCTGTACCTTATACGGCCTCCTGTACCATATAAGTGCCTCCTTGAGCCATTGACAAGCCCTGGTTATATTGTGTCCGCCCTACACACAGCATTGAAGTTCGTACTTGTACCCAACACTTACTCCGTTCGTGCTTGGTGTTCTGCGATGTTCTCAATGACTGACTGACTGAGTATGGTTTTACGCCGCTTTTAGCAATATTCCAGCAATATCACGGCGGGGGACACCAGAAATGGGCTTCACACACTGTACCCATGTCGGGAATCGAACCCGGGTCTTCCGCGTGACGAGCGAACGCTTTAACCACTAGGCTACCCGACCGACCCTGTTCTCAATGAACTTACAGAGCTAGTATTTTAATATTATTGTATGTCAACTGTACCTTGTCGTATTTCTCAGCTATGGTGTCAAACCTCTTGATAATAGCAGCATTATCAAGACCCTTCTCTACCAGGTATTGAAAGCATCTTCTTCCCTCAGCCTCTTCCTCTTCAGTAAAGCGTGTATTCTCCATCCCAGATATCTGCGCCTGGCAATATACCCACATTTACAAAGACGAACACCATGTACGTTATCAGAACGCTGGTTGGTCAGATCAGGTGTAATATATTGTTGTCATATGTATTTTAGTAACCTTATATTCTACATCAATAGGCATTATCATCTCATTAATTTGTATTCATGATCACAGCTTTTTATATAAACTGCAATGTCATAATCATGTAGTTACTTCAATCCGTTCTGAAGCATCATTAGATTATCCTTGCCATCTGTTGCGTGCCGTGAGAGGCGACAAACTTGGATCCAGTGTTCAGGTTTGGTGAAATTGTTGATTTCGTGCCATTGAACCCCGCCTGGCCCAGACTTGATTATCCACAGGCCATCGTCATACAGCTAGAATATTGATGTTTGCAGCATAAAAAAACAAACCCAAAAAGAAAAAAAAACTTCATATGGGGATCGGATGGTCAGACTCTGTGACTAGGCTTATTGCTCAGCACCTTATCAACTGGCATTGTTCATGCTTTCAATCACAAGTTTGTCTGACCCAGATTGGAATAGCGGGAGATATTGATGGAGTATTGCAGACTGCCGCGTTAATCGACCTTCACACACTCCTTCACTTAGCTAACAAAGTTGTCATTTGCGGTGTTATGATGTCACTTCCGGACAAGACTAACTAGTGACTGAAAGCATGACCAACAATCCGTGACAGTTGGTTAAGGTGACGTGCCATCAGCCAAGTCACAGAGTCTGACCATTCTATCCCCATGTTTCAGGATGACGTCTTTCTTGATTGTTTTGTTGGTTTACGCCACATTCATCAATGTCCCATCTCATATAACGGTACCTATAAACGATCGGTATATGTGTCACACAGTATTTTTGGTACCTGTCCCACAACAATCGGTATATATGTCACACAGTGTTGTGCGTACCTGTCTCACAACAATCGGTATATGTTTCACACAGTGTTGTGCGTACCTGTCCCACAACAATCGGTATATTTGTCACACAGTGTTGTTGGTACCTATCTCACATCAATCGGTATATGTGTCACAACGTTCTGCATACCTACCTCACAACAATCGGTATATGTGTAACACAGTATTGTTGGTACCTATCTAACAACAATCGGTATATGTGTAACACGGTATTGTTGGTACCTATCTCACATCAATCGGTATATGTGTCACAACGTTCTGCATACCTACCTCACAACAATCGGTATATGTGTAACACAGTATTGTTGGTACCTATCTCACAACACTCGGTATATGTGTCACACAGTGTTGTGGGTACCTATCTCACAACACTCGGTATATGTGTCACACAGTTTTGTGGGTACCTATCTCACAACAATCGGTATATATGTCACACAGTTTTGTGGGTACCTGTCTCACAACAATCGGTATATGTGTCACAATGTATTGCGGGTACATGTCTCACAACAATCGGTATATGTGTCACACTGTATTGTGGGTACTTGTCTCACAACAAGTGGTATATGTGTCACACTGTATTGCGGGTACCTGTCTCACTACAATCGGTATATTTGTTACAACGTTCTGCATACCTATCTCACAACAATCGATATACGTATAACACAACATAGTGCATACCTATGATGAGATATGGGTGATATATATACACACACCCTGATAAATAATATGAACGCAAGGCTTACATTTGAGTGTGTGTGCCAGGTAAATAACACTTGACGCAAAAATGCCCTATAACCGCTTTCAATACCCTCATTTACTACCGAATTCGAAAGGGGGCAGTGGGGTTGCTTGGTGCTTAAAGCGTTCACTCGTCACGCCGATGACCCGGGTACGATTCCCCACATAGGTACAATGTGTGAAGCCCATCTCTGGTGTCCCCCGCCATGATATTGGTGGAATATTGCTAAAAGCAGCGTAAAACCATACTCTCTCACTACTACCGAAAGACATTCAATCATTCACTGACAATACTGACATTGAGCCATGGTGTTTGGGCCGCTTGTTTTCTACCTGGCAGTGAAATCCCTGATCATAAAACCCTCAACGAACGCTGGGTACCTGGTCGTCACCCCTACCCGACTCCTACCTGGCTGTGAAATCCCTGATCATAAAACCCTCAACGAACGCTGGGTACCTGGTCGTCACCCCTACCCGACTCCTACCTGGCTGTGAAATCCCTGATCATAAAACCCTCAACGAACGCTGGGTACCTGGTCGTCACCCCTACCCGACTCCTACCTGGCTGTGAAATCCCTGATCATAAAACCCTCAACGAACGTTGGGTACCTGGTCGTCACCCCTACCCGACTCCTACCTGGCAGTGAAATCCCTGATCATAAAACCCTCAACGAACGTTGGGTACCTGGTCGTCACCACTACCCGACTCCTACCTGGCTGTGAAATCCCTGATCATAAAACCCTCAACGAACGTTGGGTACCTGGTCGTCACCCCTACCCGACTCCTACCTGGCTGTGAAATCCCTTATCATGAACACCCCAACGAACGCTGGGTAGCTGGTCGTCACCCCTACCCGACTCCTACCTGACTGTGAAATCCCTGATCATGAACACCCCAACGAACGCTGGGTAGCTGGTCGTCACCACTACCCCACTCCTACCTGGCTGTGAAATCCCTGATCATGAACACCCCAACGAACGCTGGGTAGCTAGTCGTCACCCCTACCCGACTCCTACCTGGCTGTGAAATCCCTGATCATAAAACCCTCAACGAACGCTGGGTAGCTGGTCGTCACCCCTACCCGACTCCTACCTGGCTGTGAAATCCCTGATCATGAACACCCCAACGAACGCTGGGTAGCTGGTCGTCACCCCTACCCGACTCCTACCTGGCTGTGAAATCCCTGATCATGATAACAGACTAAGCTGGAAGATGCCGCGCGGCAACCATCTTATTACATCACATTGGATCCGTGAAGATCCGGGGTAGAAAAGGTCTTCAGCAACCCATAATTGCCGTAAAAGGCGACTATGCTTGTCGACTAACGGGATCGGGTGGTCAGTCCTCGCTGACTTAGTTGATGCATGTCATCGATCCCAATTGCGTGGATCGATGCTCGTGATATTAAATACTGGATTGTCTGGACCAGACTCGGTTATTTACTAACCGCCGTCATATAGGTGGAATATTGCAGAGTGCGGCGTTAAACAAGAAACCAACCAACCAACTTCACATTGATTCCATCGTGTAAGCCAAATGCAAAGCGGACGACCGTTCGATGTGTCCTGATATGCTATGAAACTGAAACTAATTGCAACCTTTCTTATATGACGGTAGGTTGATGTTGAATTCTGCATTTATGTCATGCTAATCATTATTTGAACATTAACTGTTTTACATTAAAAGGGGAAAAAACTTTTCTCACAAATAGATGTGAATACCACTGCAGTACAGTTGTCAGGAACCAACAATTATCATGTACAAAACCAGCCACCATAATCAGCATCTTCTTGGAAAGTCAGGGTTATGTCTTTAGTGTCTTGACAAAACGATCAGCATGCGGTAAACCTAATAAATCAAGGTGAGATGAAATGGGGTTTAACGTCGCGTCCAAGATTATGTGTGTGGCTGCTTGTACTAGTCCGGACTAATGCCGATTTATAGTGCTAGCACACTGAGATACCATGCCGCAGAATACCCCCCTCAGACACAGTATACTGACTCCGAGCCGACCAGTCCTTGTTTTAGCCCCTTAATGCCTAGCGCCAGACAGGGTAACAGCAAGTACCATCTTTTAACGTCTTTTAAATCAAATCTGGAGTAGGTAGTCTACGAAAATGTGTGTCATTTGTCTTACGTTACTGATTTTCAGTTATCCAATTATATAATTTTCACAGCTAGTTTGACCCTTATTCTCTTGCATTGGCGTTTAATAATTACTCCATTGAGTTACAATCTAACACATGCTGGCTACATAGTCTAGGCAATGACGTACGTGCGTGCATATCGTTTTCTTTAAATAATATATTTTATCATGGTGGACCGTGTTTTAGTTGCAATTTGATCGTATGCAGAATTGGAAAAAATTAATGCATATTATTTTACATAATTATATCTGTAGTTAACCATATGTATGTGTGATAAATACGAAAATGGCAGATATCTAACTGTACGTCAGTAACAGATGTACACGTGTTTCTGCTGAATGTCACACCTAATGTGCTAACATTTGTTTTGGTTTCTAAGTAAACTATTTTCAACTGTTCCCACGAATCCATTATAGTTGAGTCGAAATGTAGTGCTACTTGACATGTCACATACACATTTACTTGGAGCTAATCAAGTTTTTATTTGTTTAGTCCCGTGCTGCTGTTCAGATGATTTCAATAAAATGGACGTTTAAGGAAAAGTGAGTGAGTGAGTTGGATTTTACGCCGCTTTTAATAATATTCCACTTATATCACGGCGTGTCAGCTTAATGTGGGAGGCAAGCCCGAAGTGATGCAGGTCTCAGACGTTTACCACTTCGGTGAAACCCACGAGCACGGGTATGGTGCTGACAAACCTTGAAACATAATCGGGGCTAAACGGGATTCGAACCCACAATCATAGGTTTCTGGCGTGCCCAAGGGACGCAACTCTGCACAGCGAATCGCGGCGCCTTAGACGACTGGGCGACCCCCTTTAAGGAAAAGAGGCGGGTGGGGAAGCTAAGCGGTTATTTAAAGCGTTCGGTTGCCACGTCGAAGGCAAGCCCTTCATCGGAGTCCCCGTGCTATTATAGCTGGGACATAGCTCATGTATAACCCCGCAATACTTCAGGGTGCCTTACACAATCAGGTAATAATTGCAGTCCTTGAAGTTTTCAGGGAATATACCTATGCCTAAACTAGTGCTTATATAATCACTGATATAACATTTCATAATTATATTCGTTCTCCCTCGCCCTGTACATTGTATGTCAGATACAAGATTGTTGAAAAACGCTTTTGATGCCTTGAGTACTTTGAACATAGGCGTTACCAGATACCTATCAACTAGCGTGATGATCTATGCACACGTTTTAGTCATGAGCACAGCTGTGCGGCGTTAGATAGAACACAATTAGCGTTTGTGCAGTTTGTGAGATATATATGACGTTTATCATATATTTTTCTCTACTAAATGAACATTGCTTAAAAACTAATATACTAAATTTCTAACTGATGGTGGGAGAAATAAAATATTTATACAGGGAATATGTATTAAAAAGTGTCATTGTTTCAGGGACTATCTGTTACCACTGAAAATGTGAAGTAGTTTCCTTGAATGAAGCAGGCATTACACATGATCCCTGAAAATGTCACCATTACCTACCTTGTATGTACCATGCGTGTGTGTGTGTGTGTGTGTGTGTGTGTGTGTGTTTGTGGCTGTGTGTGTGTGTGTATGTGGCTGTGGCTGTACGTGTGTGGCTGTGTGTGTGTGTGTGTGGCTTTGTGGCTATGTGTGTGGCTGTGTGTGTGAAGCTGTGTGTGCGTGGCTGTATGTGTGTGTGGCTGTGTGTGTGTGTGGCTATGTGTGTGTACGTGTGTGTGGCTATGTGTGTGGCTGTGTGTGTGCGTGGCTGTATGTGTCTGTGTGTGTGTGTGGCTGTGTGACTGTGTGTGTGTGTGGCTATATGTGTGTGGCTGTGTAGCTGTGGCTGTGTGTGTGGCTGTGTGTGTGTGTGGCTGTGAGTGTATATGTGTGTGGCTGTGTGTGTGGCTGTATGTGTGTGGTTGTGTGTGTATTGCTGTATGTGTGTGTTTGTGTGTGTGTATGTGTGTGTTGTGTGTGTGGCTATGTGTGTATGTATGTGCGTGTTTGTGTGTGTGTGGCTGTGCGTGTAGCTGTGGCTGCGTGTGTATGTGTGTGTGTGGCTGTGTGTGTGTATGGCTGTGGCTGTGTGTGTATGTGTGTGTGGCTGTGTGTGTGGCTGTGTATGTGACTATGTGTGTGTATGTGTGTGTGGCTGTGTGTGTATGTGTGTGTGGCTGTGTGTGTGGCTATGTGTGCGTAGGTGTGTGTGGCTGTGGCTGTGTGGCTTAGATGACATGCATCAACCAAGTGAACGGGCCTGACCACCAGTTAGTCGCCTCTTACGACAAGCATAGTCGCCTTTTACGCTAAACATGGGTTGCTGAAGACCTATTCTACCCCGGATCTTCACGGGTCGTCTGTGTGTATGTGTGTATCTGTGTGTACCGATATTCTAGGGGCCTCAGTCATATAACTAGACTATGAGTGCGGCGATAAACAAGGACACACACACACACACACACACACACACACACACACACACACACACACACACACACACACACACTCACACACACACAGAGTTGTACAATCAGCCTTACAGAGTTGTACAGTCAGTCTTAAGGGGTGTACAGTCAGTCTTACAGGGATGTACAGTCAGTCTTTAGGTGTGTACAGACATTCTTAAGGGATGTAAATCTGTCTTACAGGTGTGTACAGTCACAGTCTTACGGGGTTGTAAAGTCAGTCTTACAGGGGTGTACAGTCAGTCTTAGGGGTGTACAGTCAGTCTTACAGAGTAATACAGTCAATATTATATGGGTGTACAGTCAGTCTTAAGGGTTGTACAGTCAGTCTTACATGGTTGTATAGTCAGTCTTTAGGTGTGTACAGACAGTCTTAAGGGATGTAAATCTGTCTTACAGGTGTGTACAGTCACAGTCTTACGGGGGTGTACAGTCAGTTTTACAGGGGTGTACAGTCAGTCTTACAGGGGTGTACAGTCAGTTTTACAGGGGTGTACAGTCAGTCTTACAGGGGTGTACAGTCAGTCTTAGGGGGTGTACATTCAGCCTTACAGAGTAATACAGTCAATATTACATGGGTGTAAGTCAGTCTTAAGGGTTGTACAGTCAGTCTTACATGGTTGCACAGACAGTCTAAATGGTCTACAGTCAGTCTTACGGGGTTGTACAGTCAATATTACATGGGTGTACAATCAGTCTTAAGGGGTGTACAGTCAGTCTTAAGAGGTGTACAGGCAGTCTTATATGGGTGTACAGACAGCCTTACATGAGTGTACAGTCAGCCTTACAGGGATGTACAGTCAGTCTTTAGGTGTGTACAGACATTCTTAAGGGATGTAAATCTGTCTTACAGGTGTGTACAGTCACAGTCTTACGGGGTTGTAAAGTCAGTCTTACAGGGGTGTACAGTCAGTCTTAGGGGTGTACAGTCAGTCTTACAGAGTAATACAGTCAATATTATATGGGTGTACAGTCAGTCTTAAGGGTTGTACAGTCAGTCTTACATGGTTGTATAGTCAGTCTTTAGGTGTGTACAGACAGTCTTAAGGGATGTAAATCTGTCTTACAGGTGTGTACAGTCACAGTCTTACGGGGGTGTACAGTCAGTTTTACAGGGGTGTACAGTCTGTCTTACAGGGATGTACAGTCTGTCTTACAGGGATGTACAGTCAGTCTTACAGGGATGTACAGTTTGTCTTACAAGGGTATACAGTCCGTCTTACAGGGATGTACAGTCAGTCTTACAGGGATGTACAGTCTGTCTTACAGGGATGTACAGTCTGTCTTACCCACAATCATAGGTTTCTGGCGTGCCCAAGGGACGCAACTCTGCACAGCGAATCGCGGCGCCTTAGACGACTGGGCCACCCCCTTTAAGGAAAAGAGGCGGGTGGGGAAGCTAAGCGGTTATTTAAAGCGTTCGGTTGCCACGTCGAAGGCAAGCCCTACATCGGAGTCCCCGTGCTATTATAGCTGGGACATAGCTAATGTATAACCCCGCAATACTTCAGGGTGCCTTACACAATCAGGTAATAATTGCAGTCCTTGAAGTTTTCAGGGAATATACCTATGCCTAAACTAGTGCTTATATAATCACTGATATAACATTTCATAATTATATTCGTTCTCCCTTGCCCTGTACATTGTATGTCAGATACAAGATTGTTGAAAAACGCTTTTGATGCCTTGAGTTCTTTGAACATACACGTTACCAGATACCTATCAACTAGCGTGATGATCTATGCACACGTTTTAGTCATGAGCACAGCTGTGCGGCGTTAGATAGAACACAATTAGCGTTTGTGCAGTTTGTGAGATATATATGACGTTTATCATATATTTTTCTCTACTAAATGAACATTGCTTAAAAACTAATATACTAAATTTCTAACTGATGGTGGGAGAAATAAAATATTTATACAGGGAATATGTATTAAAAAGTGTGATTGTTTCAGGGACTATCTGTTACCACTGAAAATGTGAAGTAGTTTCCTTGAATGAAGCAGGCATTACACATGATCCCTGAAAATGTCACCATTACCTACCTTGTATGTACCATGCGTGTGTGTGTGTGTGTGTGTGTGTGTGTGTGTGTGTGTGTGTGTGTGTGTGTGTGTGTGTGTGTTTGTGTTTGTGGCTGTGTGTGTGTGTGTATGTGGCTGTGGCTGTACGTGTGTGGCTGTGTGTGTGTGTGTGTGGCTGTGTGGCTATGTGTGTGGCTGTGTGTGTGAAGCTGTGTGTGCGTGGCTGTATGTGTGTGTGGCTGTGTGTGTGTGTGGCTATGTGTGTGTATGTGTGTGTGGCTATGTGTGTGGCTGTGTGTGTGCGTGGCTGTATGTGTGTGTGGCTGTGTGTGTGGCTGTGGCTGTGTGTGTGTGTGTGTGGCTGTGTGACTGTGTGTGTGTGTGGCTATATGTGTGTGGCTGTGTAGCTGTGGCTGTGTGTGTATGTGTGTGTGGCTGTGTGTGTGTGTGTGTGGCTGTGAGTGTATATGTGTGTGGCTGTGTGTGTGGCTGTATGTGTGTGGTTGTGTGTGTATTGCTGTATGTGTGTGTTTGTGTGTGTGTATGTGTGTGTTGTGTGTGTGGCTATGTGTGTATGTATGTGCGTGTTTGTGTGTGTGTGGCTGTGCGTGTAGCTGTGGCTGCGTGTGTATGTGTGTGTGTGGCTGTGTGTGTGTATGGCTGTGGCTGTGTGTGTATGTGTGTGTGGCTGTGTGTGTGGCTGTGTATGTGACTATGTGTGTGTATGTGTGTGTATGTGTGTGTGGCTGTGTGTGTGGCTGTGTGTGTGGCTATGTGTGCGTAGGTGTGTGTGGCTGTGGCTGTGTGGCTTAGATGACATGCATCAACCAAATGAACGGGCCTGACCACCAGTTAGTCGCCTCTTACGACAAGCATAGTCGCCTTTTACGCTACGCATGGGTTGCTGAAGACCTATTCTACCCCGGATCTTCACGGGTCGTCTGTGTGTATGTGTGTCTCTGTGTGTCTCGATATTCTAGGGGCCTCAGTCATATAACTAGACTATGAGTGCGGCGATAAACAAGGACACACACACACACACACACACACACACACACACACACACACACACTCACACACACACAGAGTTGTACAATCAGCCTTACAGAGTTGTACAGTCAGTCTTAAGGGGTGTACAGTCAGTCTTACAGGGATGTACAGTCAGTCTTTAGGTGTGTACAGACATTCTTAAGGGATGTAAATCTGTCTTACAGGTGTGTACAGTCACAGTCTTACGGGGTTGTAAAGTCAGTCTTACAGGGGTGTACAGTCAGTCTTAGGGGTGTACAGTCAGTCTTACAGAGTAATACAGTCAATATTATATGGGTGTACAGTCAGTCTTAAGGGTTGTACAGTCAGTCTTACATGGTTGTATAGTCAGTCTTTAGGTGTGTACAGACAGTCTTAAGGGATGTAAATCTGTCTTACAGGTGTGTACAGTCACAGTCTTACGGGGGTGTACAGTCAGTTTTACAGGGGTGTACAGTCAGTCTTACAGGGGTGTACAGTCAGTTTTACAGGGGTGTACAGTCAGTCTTACAGGGGTGTACAGTCAGTCTTAGGGGGTGTACATTCAGCCTTACAGAGTAATACAGTCAATATTACATGGGTGTAAGTCAGTCTTAAGGGTTGTACAGTCAGTCTTACATGGTTGCACAGACAGTCTAAATGGTCTACAGTCAGTCTTACGGGGTTGTACAGTCAATATTACATGGGTGTACAATCAGTCTTAAGGGGTGTACAGTCAGTCTTAAGAGGTGTACAGGCAGTCTTATATGGGTGTACAGACAGCCTTACATGAGTGTACAGTCAGCCTTACAGGGATGTACAGTCAGTCTTTAGGTGTGTACAGACATTCTTAAGGGATGTAAATCTGTCTTACAGGTGTGTACAGTCACAGTCTTACGGGGTTGTAAAGTCAGTCTTACAGGGGTGTACAGTCAGTCTTAGGGGTGTACAGTCAGTCTTACAGAGTAATACAGTCAATATTATATGGGTGTACAGTCAGTCTTAAGGGTTGTACAGTCAGTCTTACATGGTTGTATAGTCAGTCTTTAGGTGTGTACAGACAGTCTTAAGGGATGTAAATCTGTCTTACAGGTGTGTACAGTCACAGTCTTACGGGGGTGTACAGTCAGTTTTACAGGGGTGTACAGTCAGTCTTACAGGGGTGTACAGTCAGTTTTACAGGGGTGTACAGTCAGTCTTACAGGGGTGTACAGTCAGTCTTAGGGGGTGTACATTCAGCCTTACAGAGTAATACAGTCAATATTACATGGGTGTAAGTCAGTCTTAAGGGTTGTACAGTCAGTCTTACATGGTTGCACAGACAGTCTAAATGGTCTACAGTCAGTCTTACGGGGTTGTACAGTCAATATAACATGGGTGTACAATCAGTCTTAAGGGGTGTACAGTCAGTCTTAAGAGGTGTACAGGCAGTCTTATATGGGTGTACAGACAGCCTTACATGAGTGTACAGTCAGCCTTACAGGCATGAACAGTCAGTCTGTTATTGGTGTACAGCCACTCTAAAGGGTTGTAGTGTCAGTGTTAAGGGGTGTACAGTCAGTCTTAAGGGCTGTACAGTCAGTCTTAAGAGGTGTACAGTCAGTCTTATATAGGTGTACAGTCAGCCTTACAGGGATGTGACACGGGGCTATCATTTCAGAGTTCGAGCCTGCTTTGATGGCATTGCTGACCCGCGAGAATATTTGGGTCAATGAAGTGAAATAAATAAAGAAGTTGACATCCATAAATTCCCTTCCTCAAACTGTGTTTATCAAGGTAAATGGATGTGGGAGGATAAAACGTCAATACGAGGAGTCCTATGTGTAAAGTTAGGAATTATGTGTTGGTTTTAATAGAACATGATATAATATTGCTCTTAATTGCGTTAAATTCAAGGTCCTCTCTGAACATCACGTAAACAATTAAACGGAAAGGATGACAACAATATCGAAATGTACATAACAGGTGTGTTTACATGTCAATTATCTCCAAATGAAAAGGCTATCTCCAACAGCCAACAAATAAGCATGGACTGCTGAAGATCAGACCCGGAAAGTATGTGGGTCTCTCGCTAAGTGGCAACGAGAGGACGAGAGGTGTATACATATACAAAAGACTTACAGTTAGAAGACAAATAAAGTGGGGTTTGAATGACTTGATTAACATTTCGGGGACTCCCAGTGTTTTTGCCGGTTTGGTGGCTCACATGAAACCACTTAAATATTATGCCGAATAAAATATACTCGTGATACCAGAGGTGACAAAAGCTATGGATAACAACTTCTTTACTTACTGTAAAGGCGACGTTTCGGTATAGGTCCTTCTACCGTTGGACCGTCAAGATTGGTCGGGCGAGGCTCTTGATGGTGTTGATTGCCAAGTCACAAGGTCGATGACGGATACATCATTTGCTAGGCATTACTTAGAAGTTGGCGGATGACCAAGTAGATACAATTTATGGATAACAACTTTTTTTACTGTAAAAGCGACGTTTCGGTACAGATACTTATACCGTTATCAAGTAAGGATGCTTCTAAGTAATGCCAACTTAGCCAAGCTCTACGTTACTTAATGCCTTTCAAAGAATTTACTCGTGATATATTCGGCGAACACTTGCATTTAAACATTTGTATGATTTTCTTTCATACATTTTATGACTTCGAAATTTTTCTGAACTGCAGCTTTTTCTGCGGATCATGACGGACTACGTACATGCCAATTTGATAGCTTTGTCTTACATTGGTCTAAACCCATCAAGTTTTGCTTTTATCTTGGATTCAATCTGGTACTGTGTCAGCCTGGTTTTCTGATCTTATGAATATAGAGGTCTGTGTTGAACACATTCACCTTGATTTGGTCACGTTGTTATACGTTAGTCAGTGTCATGTGGACCATTTTATCAAATAAATGTTTGTCGACTATGTGAATATGATTATTTTTAATGTAGAATGAGCTATGAGAATGGCGATATTGTTTATAACACACACACGCAAGCACGCATGCACGCACATGCACCCACCCACACATGCACACACTCGGAGGTAGTCAGTAGTAAACTAGATCGACGCATGCAAGTAAGTAAGTCTTACTTAAACAGGGATCTTTTCACCATCATTTTAATAGAGCGAAAGAAAAGGCTGAACAGTAGTATGGGTAATGATTATTAAATACAATAGACTTTCCTCTTGGTGTAGGACTACAGAACGTGATAGACATGAAGATGACCAGTCATCCTCTTGTTTCCTCCTGGTGTGGGACTGCAGAACGTGATAGACATGCAGATGACCGGTCATCACCTTGTTTCCTCCTGGTGTAGGACTGCAGAACTTGATAGACACGCAGATGACCGGTCATCCCCTTGTTTCCTCCTGGTGTAGGACTGCAGAACGTGATAGACATGCAGATGACCGGTCATCACCTTGTTTCCTCTTGGTGTGGGACTGCAGAACGTGATAGACATGCAGATGACCGGTCATCACCTTGTTTCCTCCTGGTGTAGGACAACAGAACTTGATAGACATGCAGATGACAAGATATCCCCTTGTTTCCTCCTGATGTAGGACAACAGAACGTGATAGACATGAAGATGACCGGTCATCACCTTGTTTCCTCCTGGTGTAGGACAACAGAACTTGATAGACATGCAGATGACAAGATATCCCCTTGTTTCCTCCTGATGTAGGACAACAGAACGTGATAGACATGAAGATGACCAGTCATCACCCGGTTTCCTCCTGGTGTAGGACTACAGAACGTGATAGACATGAAGATGACCGGTCATCACCTTGTTTCCTCCTGATGTAGGACAACAGAACTTGATAGACATGAAGATGACCGGTCATCACCTTGTTTCCTCCTGGTGTAGGACTGCAGAACGTGATAGACATGCAGATGACCGGTCATCACCTTGTTTCCTCCTGGTGTAGGACTGCAGAACGTGATAGACATGCAGATGACCGGTCATCACCTTGTTTCCTCCTGATGTAGGACAACAGAACTTGATAGACATGAAGATGACCGGTCATCACCTTGTTTCCTCCTGGTGTAGGACTGCAGAACGTGATAGACATGAAGATGACAAGATATCCCCTTGTTTCCTCCTGGTGTAGGACTGCAGAACGTGATAGACATGCAGATGACCGGTCATCACCTTGTTTCCTCCTGATGTAGGACAACAGAACTTGATAGAGATGAAGATGACCGGTCATCACCTTGTTTCCTCCTGGTGTAGGACTACAGAACTTTATAGATATGCAGATGACCGGTAATCCCCTTCTTGATCTCGGGCATAATTTGCTTGTCCTCCAGTTTCCATAGCCCACAGTTTTCTAGGCTGGAGAGATTCGCACGGAGGACATCCCTCTCGAAGATGTAGTCGAAGTGATTCATCAAGATATGGCCACCTAGAAGGCAGGAAAGATTGTTTAATAATAAGCTCTATAAATAATCGAGTCTGGACCAGACGACAAGTTTCATAGCATATCAGGACACATCGAATGGTCGTCCGCTTTGCATTTGGCTTACACGATGTTTAAGCCCCATTTAATGTAAAACAGTTAATGTTCAAATAATGATTAGCATGACATAAATGCAGAATTTAACATCAACCTACCGTCATGTAAGAAAGGTTGCAATTAGTTTCAGTTTCATAGCATATCAGGACACATCGAACGGTTGTATGCTTTGCATTTGGCTTACACGATGGAATCAATGTGATGTTGGTTGGTTGGTTGGTTGGTTGGTTGGTTTCTTGTTTAACGCCGCACTCTGCAATATTCCACCTATAGGACGGCGGTTTGTAAATAATCGAGTCTGGTCCAGACAATCCAGTGATTAATATCACGAGCATCGATCCACGCAATTGGGATCGATGACGTGCATCAACCAAGTCAGCCACCCGATCCCGTTAGTCGACAAGCATAGTCGCCTTTTACGGCAATTATGGGTTGCTGAAGACCTATTCTAACCCGGATCTTGACGGGTCAGAAGGCAGCATTGATGAAAAACAGTAGATCGATGACTTACATGAATCCTTCAGTATGTCTTAATATATGTTGTTTTTACGCCCATCGGTAAAAATCCATAACAATTTGTTCTCACCTGATTTCGTGACACGCACCAGTTCCTCGAATGCCTTGATGGGCAGTGTACTGAATATTTCGGAGCTGAGACCGACCACTGTTACTATAGTGTATGTTTCTGCAAAAAACAAAGACACATGCAGGTGATATCTGGTTATGGAAGGGCATTGGGGCCTTCGTTCTGGTGGCTCTGAAATCACAAAATGATTGTCTGTTTTGAAACAACCATGTCATGCCACGGACAAATGTATGGCCAAGTCTCGATATTTGGGTGTTTGTTTGTTGTTCTAAAAATTATCATACACATACTAAGCAAGAATCAGGTGACAGATTGTTCTCAAAACTTACATGAATGTGATTTGAAACATGTCTTAATTTTCAGACATTGGCGATATTGTGTTTGATACTTTAACGATGGGAAACATGTTATATTTATCATGTTAACAAATATTCTATCACAAACGTCAAAGGCAAATTCATCGGTAGTCTCCTTATATCAGGTATATCTGCGTTATTCACGTCTACATCAACTGACACTACCTTCACAAAGAGACATCTATTCTATCCCATATCTCTGTTAACCTCGGCTGTCCGTGCTACCAGTATATGTTGTCTACTTCTTGTCTTACAACCGTGTCTAATGCAACCGTTCCTACTCTCACCATCAGAAATATCCAGGGTGTTGTCAGCAAGAATGTCACATATGTATCGCTCATACAAGGTTTTTTTCCTAGCCTGTTCAAGCATCCCGACAGACGGTTCCAGACCATCAATGTGCAGGAATCCGTGTTTCCGCATCTGGGACATAAACGAACTCTATAATTTTATCTTGTCAGCATGCCACAGTTCAGGTTTAATCAGCACATAAAATGACAAGGACTAAGATTGGGGCGAAACTGTTTTCTTCTTCTTTCTCATATGCCGATATGGTCCGACTTTTCATAAACTGACGGGGGGCGGTCGGGTAGCCTAGTGGTTAAAGCGTTCGCTCGTCACGCCGAGGACCCGGGTTCGATTCCCTTCATTGGTACAATGTGTGAAGCCCATTTGTGGTGTTCCCCGCCGTGATATTGCTGGAATATTGCTAAAAGCGGCGTAAAAACATACTCACTCACACACTCACTCATAAACTGACGGCCAAACAATAGTTGTGAATCACTCTTGTATAAAAACCACAACATGTAGATGCATGAAGTAAAAAGATTGAAAAGATCATAATCTCAACGAAATCGGGGAAATGACAGTCATAAAACATCCAATACTGACATGACAGTTGCCCGAATTGAGGTGGAGTAGCACAAACAAGCCTTCAACGTACTGGACAAAAAGCACTCATATCTAAAATCGCTTAAGTTCAATGACACATCACATTAATAGCGTGTATGACCACCCCCAGCTACAAGACAAGGAAAAAGTCTCGGGCGTAGAGAAAAAGTCAGTCGTCTGATGACGTCACGTGGGATACGTCGCCATTATGTTTGGATTGCCTGGATCAGTTCTTGTCAGTTGACTGGAGGATGTGGTCGCAGTCGAACACGACGATCCATGACATCCCATATGTGTTCGATGGGTGACATGTCTTGTTGGCTGCAACGAAGTTCTGTGCGATTCGGGTTGTATGGAGTCTGGCGTTGCCATGCTGATAAAGCACACCACGTAGCAGATGTTGTAGAAATGGTAGGACGAAGAAATCTGACGAAGAATGTCATCCGTGTAACGCTGAGTTGTAAAATCTCCGTTAACGATGACCATTGGTGTTCTCTCCTGCCCCAAAATTCCTCCCATCAGCTGTGAACAGACAGAACCGGCTTTCATCAGGGAAGACGACGTCTCTACCAACGACGTACAGTATGGGCCCACATCAATCTCTGACGACGATGTTGCGCTGTCTATAACGGTGCTCTGTAAGGTCTGTAAGCCCGTGAGCCCTAGAGTCGCCTGGCCACTGTCTGTCGACTAACCATATCCACTTAGGCATTCGTCGCTGATGACGCCAATGTCAGGGATCGATTCCGGAGATACAAAGTACCGGTCTTCATTGGGCATAGTTACCCTGGGCCTGTCTGTTCTTGGCCTGTCTGATGTCTGCCCGATCTGTCTGTAACGTTGCATCAGGTTTGTTACGACAACACGAGAACAACCAAAAGTTCTATCAATGTGGGCATGGGTGGCTCCCATCTGTATCGTACCCAGGGCCCGCTCGCGTTGTCCGGGTGTCAGTCGTGGTATTTTTGTGGTGTCATTTTATGAGTGTGAGTGTCTGACATGACGTCCGTATTATTTATTTACCCTTATTGCAGGTATAGTTTCAGCCGCCCAAGCGGCATATGTTTTTTGCTTTTTTTGCAATTCCTAAAAAAAAAACCCACCGTGTCGTGTTTGGCTGGTGTATTTTGCGTTGATTTAGTTTCTTTTGGCCGTCAGTTTAGTAAGAAACAAGACATTGGCTCCCACATCAGACAACATATACTGATCATATGGATGTATTTACATTTGCCAGTTTGCTCTTATGCATAATAAAGCCAAGAGGATCATGAATGAGTGAGTGGGTTGGGTTTAACGCCGCTTTTAACAGTATTCCCGTTATATCACGGCGTGTATGCTTAATGTGGGAGGAAAACCTGAGGGATGCAGGTCTCAGACGTTTACCACTTCGGGGCTAGAAAAACCTAGAAACATAATCGGGGAGAAACCGGGATTCGAACCCACAATCATAGGTTTGTGGCGTGCCCAAGGGACGCAACTCTGCACAGCGAATCGCGGCGCCTTCGACGACTGGGCCACCCGTGCCCCAAAGAGAATCATGAGACTCAAATAGCTCACCTACGTGCTACTGGAATTGTTACTGTAGATCAGCGATGCCTTGCAATGATAACCGTAAAAACGCAAAACAAACATGCCGGATGGCCGACAAGTAAGTTGTGGGTGTCAAATTAAATTGTTTGGTTCGTCATGTCACATAAACCAAGGGGCCTGTTATGAGACTGTGACCAAACAAATTCCCTTCATCCACCGAGAACCGCCTCCGTGGTCTAGTGATAGAGCGTCCGCCCGGAGAAGGGGGTTCGGGGTTCGATCCCCGGCCGCGTCATACCAAAAGATGTTAAAGGATGGTATTGTTGCTACCCTGTCTGGCGCTCGGCATAAAGGGGCTAAAACAAGTACTGGTCGGCTCGGAGTCAGTATACTGTGTCTGAGTGGGGTATTCATGTTAAACTGCAGCATGGTATCTCAGTGGGCTAGCACTATAAATCGGCATTAGTCCGGACTAGTACAAGCAGCCACACACACACACACACACACACACACACACACACACACACACACACACACACACACACGTGCATACACGTCGCTTTATAAGTGCAATAATCTTGGACGCGACGTTGAACCCCATTTCACCTGCATCAACAGAGGTCTTTACATTCATGTAACTCCTTCCACAACAGGTCGCATTTTACCTCGTGAGAGGCCAATCCAGTTCCTGCAGCTACATCCAAGATCTTGACAGTCTGTCGGTTGCGGGTATACAGAGCCGCTAGACTCTCTCCCATCCATTTCGGCAAGTTGTTGCCAATTATACCCTGCATCTGAACAAATATATGAGTTAACAAAACATAATGTGATCACAGTGAAAACCACAAATACAATCATGTTTGATATGGGAAAATGGAAAGATACATTTGAAGTCTCGTATATATATCACTCTGTGCCTTGACAAACCGTTTTTAAGGATATCATGCACAATGGAGTGGTGATCTATAAATATATGTTGTCTTTGTTACGGAACACTCCGCTGTACCTTATACGGCCTCCTGTACCATTTGAGTGCCTCCTTGAGCCATTGACAAGCCCTGGTTATATTGTGTCCGCCCTACACACAGCATTGAAGTTCGTACTTGTACCCAACACTTACTCCGTTCGTGCTTGGTGTTCTGCGATGTTCTCAATGACTGACTGACTGAGTATGGTTTTACGCCGCTTTTAGCAATATTCCAGCAATATCACGGCGGGGGACACCAGAAATGGGCTTCACACACTGTACCCATGTCGGGAATCGAACCCGGGTCTTCCGCGTGACGAGCGAACGCTTTAACCACTAGGCTACCCGACCGACCCTGTTCTCAATGAACTTACAGAGCTAGTATTTTAATATTATTGTATGTCAACTGTACCTTGTCGTATTTCTCAGCTATGGTGTCAAACCTCTTGATAATAGCAGCATTATCAAGACCCTTCTCTACCAGGTATTGAAAGCATCTTCTTCCCTCAGCCTCTTCCTCTTCAGTAAAGCGTGTATTCTCCATCCCAGATATCTGCGCCTGGCAATATACCCACATTTACAAAGACGAACACCATGTACGTTATCAGAACGCTGGTTGGTCAGATCAGGTGTAATATATTGTTGTCATATGTATTTTAGTAACCTTATATTCTACAACATCAGGCATTATTATCTCATTAATTTGTATTCATGGTCACAGCTTTTATATATACTGCAATGTCATAATCATGTAGTTACTTCCATCCGTTCTGAAGCATCATTAGATTATCCTTGCCATCTGTTGCGTGCCGTGAGAGTCGACAAACTTGGATCCAGTGTTCAGGTTTGGTGAAATTGTTGATTTCGTGCCATTGGACCCCGCCTGGCCCAGACTTGATTATCCACAGGCCATCGTCATACCGCTAGAATATTGATGTTTGCAGCGTAAAAAAACAAACCCAAAAAGAAAAAAAAACTTCATATGGGGATCGGATGGTCAGACTCTGTGACTAGGCTTATTGCTCAGCACCTTATCAACTGGCATTGTTCATGCTTTCAATCACAAGTTTGTCTGACCCAGATTGGAATAGCGGGAGATATTGATGGAGTATTGCAGACTGCCGCGTTAATCGACCTTCACACATTCCTTCACTTAGCTAACAAAGTTGTCATTTGCGGTGTTATGATGTCACTTCCGGTCAAGACTAACTAGTGACTGAAAGCATGACCAACAATCCGTGACACTTGGTTAAGGTGACGTGCCATCAGCCAAGTCACAGAGTCTGACCATTCTATCCCCATGTTTCAGGATGACGTCTTTCTTGATTGTTTTGTTGGTTTACGCCACAGTCATCAATGTCCAATCTCATATAACGGTACCTATAAACGATCGGTATATGTGTCACACAGTATTTTTGGTACCTGTAGACAACAATCGGTATATATGTCACACAGTGTTGTGGGTAGCTGTCTTACAACAATCGGTATATGTGTCACACAGTGTTGTGGATACCTGTCTCACAACAATCGGTATATGTGTCACAGTATTGTGGATACCTGTCTCACAACAATCGGTATGTGTCACACAGTATTGTGGGTACCTATCTCACATCAATCGGTATATGTGTCACAACGTTCTGCATACCTACCTCACAACAATCGGTATATGTGTAACACAGTATTGTTGGTACCTATCTCACAACACTCGGTATATGTGTCACACAGTTTTGTGGGTACCTGTCTCACAACAATCGGTATATGTGTCACAACATTCTGCATACCTACCTTACAACAATCGGTATATGTGTAACACAGTATTGTGGGTACCTATCTCACAACACTCGGTATATGTGTCACACAGTTTTGTGGGTACCTGTCTCACAACAATCGGTATATGTGTCACAACGTTCTGCATACCTACCTCACAACAATCGGTATATGTGTAACACAGTATTGTGGGTACCTATCTCACAACACTCGGTATATGTGTCACACAGTATTGTGGGTACCTGTCTCACAACAATCGGTATATGTGTCACAGTATTGTGGATACCTGTCTCACAACAATCGGTATGTGTCACACAGTATTGTGGGTACCTATCTCACATCAATCGGTATATGTGTCACAACGTTCTGCATACCTACCTCACAACAATCGGTATATGTGTAACACAGTATTGTTGGTACCTATCTCACAACACTCGGTATATGTGTCACACAGTTTTCTGGGCACCTGTCTCACAACAATCGGTATATGTGTCACAACGTTCTGCATACCTACCTCACAACAATCGGTATATGTGTAACACAGTATTGTTGGTACCTATCTCACAACACTCGGTATATGTGTCACACAATTTTGTGGGTACCTGTCTCACAACAATCGGTATATGTGTCACAACGTTCTGCATACCTACCTCACAACAATCGGTATATGTGTAACACTGTATTGTGGGTACCTATCTCACAACACTCGGTATATGTGTCACACAGTTTTGTGGGTACCTGTCTCACAACACTCGGTATATGTGTCACACAGTTTTGTGGGTACCTGTCTCACAACAATCGGTATATGTGTCACAACGTTCTCCATACCTACCTCACAACAATCGGTATATGTGTCACACAGTATTGTGGGTACCTATCTCACAACACTCGGTATATGTGTCGCACAGTTTCATGGGTACCTGTCTCACAACAATCGGTATATGTGTCACAGTATTGTGGATACCTGTCTCACAACAATCGGTATGTGTCACACAGTATTGTGGGTACCTATCTCACATCAATCGGTATATGTGTCACAACGTTCTGCATACCTACCTCACAACAATCGGTATATGTGTAACACAGTATTGTGGGTACCTATCTCACAACACTCGGTATATGTGTCACACAGTATTGTGGGTACCTGTCTCACAACAATCGGTATATGTGTCACAGTATTGTGGATACCTGTCTCACAACAATCGGTATGTGTCACACAGTATTGTGGGTACCTATCTCACATCAATCGGTATATGTGTCACAACGTTCTGCATACCTACCTCACAACAATCGGTATATGTGTAACACAGTATTGTTGGTACCTATCTCACAACACTCGGTATATGTGTCACACAGTTTTGTGGGTACCTGTCTCACAACAATCGGTATATGTGTCACAACGTTCTGCATACCTACCTCACAACAATCGGTATATGTGTAACACAGTATTGTTGGTACCTATCTCACAACACTCGGTATATGTGTCACACAGTTTTGTGGGTACCTGTCTCACAACAATCGGTATATGTGTCACAACGTTCTGCATACCTACCTCACAACAATCGGTATATGTGTAACACTGTATTGTGGGTACCTGTCTCACAACAATCGGTATATGTGTCACAACGTTCTGCATACCTACCTCACAACACTCGGTATATGTGTCACACAGTTTTGTGGGTACCTGTCTCACAACACTCGGTATATGTGTCACACAGTTTTGTGGGTGCCTGTCTCACAACAATCGGTATATGTGTCACAACGTTCTGCATACCTACCTCACAACAATCGGTATATGTGTAACACAGTATTGTTGGTACCTATCTCACAACACTCGGTATATGTGTCACACAGTTTTGTGGGTACCTGTCTCACAACAATCGGTATATGTGTCACAACGTTCTGCATACCTACCTCACAACAATCGGTATATGTGTAACACTGTATTGTGGGTACCTGTCTCACAACAATCGGTATATGTGTCACAACGTTCTGCATACCTACCTCACAACACTCGGTATATGTGTCACACAGTTTTGTGGGTACCTGTCTCACAACACTCGGTATATGTGTCACACAGTTTTGTGGGTGCCTGTCTCACAACAATCGGTATATGTGTCACAACGTTCTCCATACCTACCTCACAACACTCGGTATATGTGTCACACTGTATTGCGGGTACCTGTCTCACAACAATCGGTATATGTGTCACACTGTATTGCGGGTACCTGTCTGACAACAATCGGTATATGTGTCACACTGTATTGTGGGTACCTGTCTCACAACAATCGGTATGTGTGTCACAGTATTGCGGGTACCTGTCTCACAACAATCGGTATATGTGTCACACTGTATTGCGGGTACCTGTCTCACAACAATCGGTATATGTGTCACACTGTATTGCGGGTACCTGTTTCACAACACTCGGTATATGTGTCACACAGTTTTGTGGGTACCTGTCTCACAACAATCGGTATATGTGTCACAACGTTCTCCATACCTACCTCACAACACTCGGTATATGTGTCACACTGTATTGCGGGTACCTGTCTCACAACACTCGGTATATGTGTCACACTGTATTGCGGGTACCTGTCTCTCAAGAATCGGTATATGTGTCACACTGTATTGCGGGTACCTGTCTGACAACAATCGGTATATGTGTCACACTGTATTGCAGGTACCTGTCTCACAACAATCGGTATGTGTGTCACAGTATTGCGGGTACCTGTCTCACAACAATCGGTATATGTGTCACACTGTATTGCGGGTACCTGTTTCACAACACTCGGTATATGTGTCACACTGTATTGCGGGTACCTGTCTCACAACAATCGGTATGTGTGTCACAGTATTGCGGGTACCTGTCTCACAACAATCGGTATATGTGTCACACTGTATTGCGGGTACCTGTCTCACAACAATCGGTATGTGTGTCTCAGTATTGCGGGTACCTGTCTCACAACACTCGGTATATGTGTCACACTGTATTGCGGGTACCTGTCTCACAACAATCGGTATATGTGTCACACTGTATTGCGGGTACCTGTCTGACAACAATCGGTATATGTGTCACACTGTATTGCAGGTACCTGTCTCACAACACTCGGTATGTGTGTCACAGTATTGCGGGTACCTGTCTCACAACAATCGGTATGTGTGTCACAGTATTGCGGGTACCTGTCTCACAACAATCGGTATATGTGTCACACTGTATTGCGGGTACCTGTCTCACAACAATCGGTATGTGTGTCTCAGTATTGCGGGTACCTGTCTCACAACACTCGGTATATGTGTCACACTGTATTGCGGGTACCTGTCTCACAACAATCGGTATATGTGTCACACTGTATTGCGGGTACCTGTCTGACAACAATCGGTATATGTGTCACACTGTATTGCAGGTACCTGTCTCACAACAATCGGTATGTGTGTCACAGTATTGCGGGTACCTGTCTCACAACAATCGGTATATGTGTCACACTGTATTGCGGGTACATGTCTCACAACACTCGGTATATGTGTCACACAGTTTTGTGGGTACCTGTCTCACAACAATCGGTATATGTGTCACAACGTTCTCCATACCTACCTCACAACAATCGGTATATGTGTCTCAGTATTGCGGGTACCTGTCTCACAACACTCGGTATATGTGTCACACTGTATTGCGGGGACCTGTCTCACAACAATCGGTATATGTGTCACACTGTATTGCGGGTACCTGTCTGACAACAATCGGTATATGTGTCACACTGTATTGCAGGTACCTGTCTCACAACAATCGGTATGTGTGTCACAGTATTGCGGGTACCTGTTTCACAACACTCGGTATATGTGTCACACTGTATTGCGGGTACATGTCTCACAATACTCGGTATATGTGTCACACAGTGTTGTGGGTACCTGTCTCACAATAATCGGTATATGTGTCACACATTGTGTGGGTACCTGTCTCACAACACTCGGTATATGTGTCACACAGTTTTGTGGGTACCTGTCTCACAACAATCGGTATATGTGTCACAACGTTCTCCATACCTACCTCACAACAATCGGTATATGTGTCTCAGTATTGCGGGTACCTGTCTCACAACACTCGGTATATGTGTCACACTGTATTGCGGGGACCTGTCTCACAACAATCGGTATATGTGTCACACTGTATTGCGGGTACCTGTCTGACAACAATCGGTATATGTGTCACACTGTATTGCAGGTACCTGTCTCACAACAATCGGTATGTGTGTCACAGTATTGCGGGTACCTGTTTCACAACACTCGGTATATGTGTCACACTGTATTGCGGGTACATGTCTCACAATACTCGGTATATGTGTCACACAGTGTTGTGGGTACCTGTCTCACAATAATCGGTATATGTGTCACACATTGTGTGGGTACCTGTCTCACAACACTCGGTATATGTGTCACACTGTATTGCGGGTACCTGTCTCACAACAATCGGTATGTGTGTCACAGTATTGCGGGTACCTGTCTCACAACACTCGGTATATGTGTCACACTGTATTGCGGGTACCTGTCTCACAACAATCGGTATATGTGTCACACAGTGTTGTGGGTAGCTGTCTCACAACAATCGGTATATGTGTCACACTGTATTGTGGGTACTTGTCTCACAACAATTGGTATATGTGTCACACTGTATTGCGGGTACCTGTCTCACTACAATCGGTATATTTGTTACAACGTTCTGCATACCTATCTCACAACAATCGATATATGTATAACACAACATAGTGCATACCTATGATGAGATATGGGTGATATATATACACACACCCTGATAAATAATATGAACGCAAGGCTTACATTTGAGTGTGTGTGCCAGGTAAATAACACTTGACGCAAAAATGCCCTATAACCGCTTTCAATACCCTCATTTACTACTGAATTCGAAAGGGGGCAGTGGGGTAGCTTGGTGCTTGAAGCGTTCACTCGTCACGCCGATGACCCGGGTACGATTCCCCACATAGGTACAATGTGTGAAGCCAATTTCTGGTGTCCCCCGCCATGATATTGGTGGAATATTGCTAAAAGCAGCGTAAAACCATACTCTCTCACTACTACCGAAAGACATTGTATCATTCACTGACAATACTGACATTGAACCATGGTGTTTGGGCCGCTTGTTTTCTACCTGGCAGTGAAATCCCTGATCATGAAACCCTCAACGAACGTTGGGTACCTGGTCGTCACCCCTACCCGACTCCTACCTGGCTGTGAAATCCCTGATCATGAACACCCCAACGAACGCTGGGTAGCTTGTCGTCACCCCTACCCGACTCCTACCTGGCTGTGAAATCCCTGATCATGAACACCCCAACGAACGTTGGGTACCTGGTCGTCACCCCTACCCGACTCCTACCTGACTGTGAAATCCCTGATCATGAACACCCCAACGAACGCTAGGTAGCTGGTATTTGGTCCTGTTTTGGAATGAAAGGTAGCCTCAACTGTCTGCGTTCATACCAGACAGTGTGAAGTGTTGTGCAACCAGAATGAACTGCTGGGAAGGTTATAAGGTTAATTGTTTAAACAGCAAAAAGCTCCGGGACGGTCCACACCAGTGTAGGGGTGGAAGGCATGCACAGGCTGTTGGTTCAGTATTACCTTGGTTATCACGAACTTTAATAAACAGTCTCTTCATGCAACAGTAAAGAAATCTATCATTTGAAAGCAGCTCAAAGAAGCTCCGGAGGCTGGCAATATATTCCCTTGTGAATCACTGGATCACCCCTAAACTGAATGTATTACACGGTGACTGCGTAGGAAGTGAAGCGTGGTAAACAGCATTTGAATAGCAATGCCGACCTAGTGCGAAAAAATTAGTAAACGTAGCACAACCTGCCTATACGTGTGCTGACCTGAACACTGCACTAGGTCGCTTGTTCGTTATTATTTTTATATTTACATTAATTTTTTATATGACATCACTTTGGTTGAAACAGTGCTAGAAGCTAGAATACAGTTCCCGATGGACTTATACACATATGGTATTCAGTGGTAGTAGGCAGACCTATATTGTAACATATCACGATGATAACAAATGCACGAGTCATCGTATCGTCATAGCGACTGATCTTGGACAACCACTTTTGCTATTGTATGAAGGACGATTCACACGATTTCCAAGGGGTAGTAATCTTGCAAGTGTGTGCGTGAATTTTCAGGGGGTTATATGTTCGGTTATCTGAATTTAGCAAACATTTTGTTACATTAAAACTGTTATTCTAATTTTCAGTGAAAACATGTTGTATTTTTTTTACTTCATTTTCAAATTTTGTGAGTAGGTAAAACAAAAATTCCATTGAGAGATGACAATAAAACCACCATAACTGTGTATCAAAATCTACCTGAACCATTGTGCTATCCTATATAGAAAACAAAATGAAAATATATTACATGGGGCCTGAGATATTGTATACAATGTTACCCCATCCCCCCAATTGTGACGAAGATTGCTTATTGAGATATGGTGGTAGATTATGTTAATGTAATTGATGAGTGGGATCATTGCCACATTGCTTAAAAACACCAAAATAGTAAAATCATAAAGAAAAATGATGTTTCTCTATAACTTTCAATGGAATTTCAAGATGGCCGCCATGTCGACCTGTTTCCAAAGTCAAGATCTAACATATTTCTTCAACATGGTCATGTATGGTCACATGAAAGCTTTTTACATTGTCTTTTCAGTGATGTACGTTATTCACTGACTCCTGTGGTAAATTGATCCCTAACAATAAAACAAATGATATATTAAAAGCTATTTTCTCCACCAACCAGATGGAGACGCCAACCAGATTTCAATTAAAATGGACATAGTTTCTCTCAAAATTGTAGATATACTGCACGTTTGTCCGAGCATTTCACTAGTATATTAACTGAGCGGAAAAAAACACTAAAAACATACTTGTAGTATTATCCCTGAGTCAGGGGCTGTGAAATTATATCACCTATTGTCTGTTTCTGTCTAGGCATGACATAGCGCAGTTGCATCCAAGGGAACATCCCATGTTGTTCTTGGCGTAGCTAAACCTGGATGTGTTGTGCATTTACAGGTGAGCAATTCTTATTCTAATTTTTTCATGTGGAAGGCATCAGTTTCTTTTGATGGTTGCATCAAATCTGGTTGTGCGATTAATATGTTCCAGGTCGACTTCGTGTCATGACCATTTATCTAGCTTGTTATGACACAACCTGTGACCGCATGGAATGTTGGTCGAGCTGCTGCAATATCTGCAATGAAAGATTGGTGTAACTAAGCCTCATATTACCCCACCAGCATATAAAGCACGAATGTTAGGTTTCACAGACAACTTCGAGTTACCCAGGTTTCAAAGGACTTTGTTTAGAATATGTCACCACAACTTGGGCATTCCAGGTTAAAAACTTATCTCACAAATAGCTGTGAATACCACTGCAGTACAGTTGTCAGGAACCAACAATTATCATGTACAAAACCAGCCACCATAATCAGCATCTTCTTGGAAAGTCAGTGTAATGTCTTTAGTGTCTTGACAAAACGATCATCATGCGGTAAACCTAATAACTCAAGTAATTAATAGCTGGGATGACTGATTACAATAAACGGACAGATTCATGAAGGACAAAGCAATAAGGAGAGATGAAACATGTCTATTGATATGTGTGAACAAAAGAAGAAGAAAAGGAATGAGCCTAAATCCACACCCTAAAGTCTGCACAACGGGCTAAATGTCTGTATTGCAACTGATTGGTAGATGCTTAGTGCATCTATTTGGAGTATTTCAATTATGTGTCATAAAACTGTGAGGAAAAATGTTGATATGAGTAATTTAAAATCAATACTTTGATGCTGCTAAATATGTCTTCTTCGCTTGTTACAAAGATGTCCGTGTACTGTAGATATATTTTGAGTTTTGTATCGACGACTTCATTCAAACAATACTAATTCCGAATGTAGGCCATCCAGCCCATAGTTCACATAATACATAGTGTTATTTCATAACAACTGAAGTATTGATCATAACGATGTCCCTATAGATACCATCTTCCCAAGGCAAGAGAGTTAACTAACTTTAAAAGTCCAGTTTCCACCCTTGCCGAACTAGGCTGGAAATCCTGGGCTCGATTGTAGCGCCACTAGTGGCTATTATCGGTTATGTCCCTTCTAAGCCTCTCCTATGGACCAGTCCGATTCCATCACTTGCATTTGTTTCAAACAAAATGGCGGCGCTCACTCAAGACGATCTGATCGATCATCAAGATCTATATCGTGATAAAACGGTTCTTACATCGCAAAAAACATCAAATTACGCGAGCAACTTGATTAAAAACATGAAAAGGTTTGGAAAATATCTGTTGACAACGAGTTGTCGGTGCAATTGCTTTGCAAATCATGCACTCGACCGAAATCTGCACGACAGTTTACGAACCGGATTTCGATTTCTTTGCGCGATTTTGATTGGACTATGCATAGACTCGTTAGTCCACCCAAAATGTAACTCCATAATACCAGCCTAGTTCGGCAAGGGTTGAAACTGGACTTTTATAGTCAGTTAACTCCCTTGCCTCGGGAAGATGTATAGATACTATTGAATATACACATCACGACACCCAGTCCATGACACCACTATGCTGTACTAGTGCGAATACGATACAATTATGACATATTAAATTAAAACAGTACAAACATTCACGTTTTGTACGTATTCACAATAACGTTACAACGACTTTATGCAAAATTATTCTTAACGTTTTTCTATCCTATCTTTTCTTAATATTACACTTAAATATAGATGTGCCCCCAATTTCCTAGCTTTAGCGTCACATTGTCACATATAAAGAATTGTATGTGAACAAAAATGAAATTTAACTTCTAGAACATATTTATATATTGCTGTTGCATAGCGGACAAGTAAACAATAAATGTTTTAAATTTCATGTTCCACAGTGCTAATGTTTGATGTGTAAGAGTAACATTTGCAGAATCTTTCTTCTCTCGGAATTCTTTTCCATCTTCCTTCTTCACGTCCGACTTTGTTACATTGAAGTCTAGGGTTGCATGTAAACTATTTGTTGAATTTGAATGTCGCAGTTTGGACATTTTTGTTGTGGGCATAACTGACAAGTAACTGACAAGTGTTGACAAATAAAGTGGTTTTCATTATTTCATTGACGCGGAACACTATTGTTCATGGAGTGTTTTCGGTTGCCTTGCATTGTGTCAGTTCACGTTTTAGTTAACGACTGAACAAGTCTTGCTATTCTAAATTAACTCTCGTCACAAAATATGTGCTTGTAGCAAACGGATACCAGTCAAGTTTGGTTCCGTCTCTAGTTATCACAAGTTGTCGCAGCGCACATTGGCCCTAGAACCAGCTTACAAAGCCACTGATTGTCTGGTCCATACTCGATTACTTTCCGACCGGCGTCGTATATCTTGAATATTGCTGAGTGCTGCGATAACGCCAAAAAACGAACAAAGCGAAATGTTAGACAAAACCTGGGACAGACAAATCGCCCATTCAAATTGGCGACAAACAACCCCACGCAAAAGGGTACCACGACTCTGACCTCAATCACTATTATGAACCGTTGCGAGTCGGCCATCAAATCGTGATGTGCTGCGATTTAAGAATTGACTTTCACTTTGTGTGAGTTTATTGGAGTATGAACCTTCATAGAGTGAGGGCCAAACTGTATGAACGTCGGAGCTTGCGAAGTCTTATATTTCTGATGGTTTTCATGTCTCAAACGATCTTTCAATAAGAATTTTGATGATTCCGACAGTACCTTTGGTCAGGACGGTGACGAATTTGGAAATGATGAACAAGTCGAGAAACTTGCAGATATGCCCTCTACTAAACGTAGAAAAACTGAATCAGTAATCTCGTCTTCACGGGGATGGGACTTCGAAATAGTGTTACTACAAGGGTGGATGAACTGATCTGATTGCACAAGTCGTATGAGGCATTGTACCCTTTGTAGATTACATTTATGTTGTAGAGACACATGTGAACTGTCACAGATCGTTCACCAACAGAAATGTTTCCAAACTATGCCTACCAGCATTTCAATTCTGAAAATCATTCCATCCTTGAATGAAAATTAGGATGTTAGAGAAAATATACCATAAAACTGATCGCCTATATGCAATCGACCTTATAGAATGTCCAGAAAACATCATTGGATTCGACTGTTGAATACAGCGATGCCATATGGATATAATGACAAAATAAAAGAGGTTGGCCGTCTTGCTGGCAACGAAACTACCAATATCAATGCACTGTGTCTAT